TCATATGTGGAATCTAAGTAAAACTGATGAACAGAGTGGATACAGAGACATGGAAGAGAGTGGGGAATCTCAGGGGAAAGGGGCAGACAATAAATAGGGTGATGAAAGCCGGGGGTGGGGGTGGGGGTAGGCTGGGGGGGGTCAATGGGGGAAAAGGGGAACATATGTAATATTTTTAACAATAATTATTTAAAAAATCATATCAGTACTAATAATAAACTATGGTTGAAAATAAAAGCTGCCTTCAGGTTATGGCTTTACTAACCAAAGCTTTATTTCAAAACAAAACACAACCCTGCTGGTGTGGCCCAGTGGTTGAGCATCGACCTATGGAGGTCACAGTTTGATTCCTGGTCTGGGTTGCGGGCTGGATCCCCAGTAGGTGGTGTGCAGGAGGCAGCTGATGAACAATTCTGTCTCATTGATCTTCCTATCTCTCTCTCCCTCTCCCTTCCTCTCTTTGAAATCAACAAAAATAAAACACAAAACAAAAGAATACTTTTGTTTAGATTGTTATAATTTTTCCTGTTATATATATACGCTATTAATTGATTTTTTTGAGAGAGAGAAACATTGATCAGCTGCCTCTTACATGCCCTTTACCAGGGATAGAGCCTGCAACCCTGTTACTATAATTTAAAAATAATTTTAGCAACTTAAGTGTGGTGCTGGTGGTAGCTGCATGGTAAGAATGCCTCAGTAATCCGCAAGGCCTCACAGTGAAAGGGTTTGTGTTCTCCCATCTCTAACCCTGCTTCACAGAAGTGAATCATTGTTACCTTTTTTGAAAATTCTGCTGGTTTTGTAAAACGAAGTATTAAGCACTGTTTCCTCAATTTACCAATTTATAGGCCTTTTTTACTCAGCTCACTTACATTGTTTTTTTGGAACATGAATGCTAATTCTCTAAGTATGTTCTGAATGCTGTATGTATCTAGGTGTCCACATGATGTATGCCTCTGTGTTGACACCGTCTGTGTCAATAGCAAGGACTTTCTGTCCTTTCTCCAAGCAGTCTTGTCTGGGTTGATTCTAAAACTTAGAAACTAGGAACGAGCTTCCATTGTTATAACTGTAGAAGCTTTTATCATTGAGCTCTGTGGTGAGCTAGGATTGCACTTCCTCCTAGCCACTTGACTAGGTGTATAGGTCCAACTCATCACCTTTGTGCCTATATTCTTGGTGTCAGGATCAAATACAAATTGTCATGACACTTTCTTTTGCCCAAAATTATGCTATAGTGACTTGAAGAGGCTGGGCCAGTTCTGCAGAATGTCCTACCTCTGGATTCCTCTAGTTTACTCTTTTAAGTCCTCACCTGAGGTTATGTTTTTCATTGATATATTTATTTTTTTGAGTTGGGCGGGGACATTGATGTGAGAGAGACAGCCATCCGTTGTCTCCTGTATGCACCCTGACCCTGACTGTAATCGAGCTCGCAACCTTTTTGGTGTATAGGACGATGCTCCAACCAACTGAGCCACTCTGCCAGGGCTTGTCTCCTTACTCCTTATGGTAGTTAGCTTGTACTTTTCTCCCAATATTTCCTGTAAATAAAGTTTTGGGCAAGAATTCTTTTTTTTTTTTTTTTAATATATTTTATTGATTTTCTACATAGAGGAAGGGAGAGAGATAGAGAGTTAGAAACATCGATGAGAGAGAAACATTGATCAGCTGCCTCCTGCACATCTCCCACGGGGGATGTGCCCGCAACCAAGGTACATGCCCTTGACCGGAATCGAACCTGGGACCTTTCAGTCCGCAGGCTGACGCTCTATCCACTGAGCCAAACCGGTTTCGGCTGGGCAAGAATTCTTCATGGGTATCCTGTGTACCTGTTGTACTAAGTCCCAGATCCTCAATAGCCATTCCCCTAATGGTGTTAATAAGGAGTGATATGGTTTGCCTGAATCAGCCATTTCATAGGCTTGTACAAAGGGGTTTAGGGTGAGTCAGGGAACCTTGATGTTCCCTGAGCTTTGTGGTGGCCCTTGACCTGGTGATTCCGGCTGTGCTCGTTCTTGGAGCGAAGCCTGGTCGGAGTCCTGGGAAGGAAGCGGCTAGGGTAAGGCGGGGGGCCGGGGGCTTGTCCTGACTGCCCGGGTCAGCCCTGCAGCCTCAGGCAAGTCATGGTGTCTCCCTCAGTGTGTGAGGAGACAGTAATTTTAGGTTAGACGGCCCTTCCTGTTCCTTTTAGCTCTGAAATGTTCAGAAGTGGTGTAGGTGAAGCTGCGAGAATGGGACCTGTGGAGACTGGAGTCATTGCTTCATTGTGAGGCGCTCTCCCCCGCTGGCAGGTGGCAGTGTTTTTTGGAGGTCTGTCCATCAAGAAGGATGAAGAGGTGCTGAAGAAGAACTGCCCGCATATCGTCGTGGGGACCCCTGGCCGCATCCTAGCCTTAGCTCGAAATAAGAGCCTCAACCTCAAACACATTAAACACTTTATCTTGGATGAATGTGATAAGATGCTTGAACAACTCGGTGAGTGGCAGTGCTGGGACTGGGCCTGAACCAAATGCTGTTCGGTTGACACAGGAGCACTGTCGTGCAGGACGACCCTGCATCTGCCGCCCTCACGATGGCGCTGGCTCCCTTGGTTGGCCTTTATCACGCTCTTCAAGCAGCCCTCTGAGCCATTCTGTGCTGAGTGTTTCTTTATCTTGGAGGGGAGGGACCTGGCCGGCAGAGGGCCTCTGTTCCATCACCCTTTCCTTGACAGATCCCTCTACTGGGTGTCTTAGGGGAGATGCCCAGCTGGAGGAGGGGGCGGTCTACCCTCTGACATCCTCGCACAGCATATATCATGAGACTTTCTAGCTGAATAGATATGTAGACTTAAGTTCTAGGGTTAATATGGAGGGTGTTGCTGGGCATTTGTGTGGCTTGGTATTCTAGTGTGCTAAGTGGGGTCACAGAACATATTCTCTAAGAACTCAAATTTGGTGAATGGGGGACAAGGGGTGGACATAGCCTTAGGGGTGAGTCATTCCAAATGATCTTTGGCTGTTCTGGATGGCAAGCTATGAGGTGGGCTCCAGGTAGAGATGTCACATTTCCTGACTGGTAGGAAAGTGTGAGCCAGAGGAAGCAGGGAGCACTCTGACAGCTGGAATATCACAGGTGTGCCCCATTCGTAGGTAGCCGGGGCTGGGGGAGGGTAGGGAGAAGGGACTCGTAAAGTGTTTTCAAAGGTCTCATCCTTGGGGCCTCGGTGGTAGGCTCTCTCCCTGTTTCGTAGTTGTAGGCTTTGGGGCTTCATCATATTTCTTGCCTGTTTAAAACACACACACAACTGGATTCTGATCCCAAATCTTGATTCCAAATTCATTGCTTTTTCTAATGTACTAGTATTATTACTATGGGTGTGATTTTGTGAGGGTTAGAGGAAATAGAGTAGAGAGACCTGAGGCAAATCTTTGCTTGAATGGACCCTGCTTACCCGTTTCCAATGGTCTCGAGCTCATTGGGAGGTCTTCATGACACATGCTGCTTTTCCCTTCCTTGTAGACATGCGTCGGGATGTCCAGGAAATTTTTCGCATGACCCCCCACGAGAAGCAGGTCATGATGTTCAGTGCCACCTTGAGCAAAGAGATCCGTCCCGTCTGCCGCAAGTTCATGCAAGACGTAAATACCTTCTCCCTTCTCTCCCTCCACTCCCGCCCACTGCCTCCTCCCCTGCGGGCCCGCTCCCTCCAGACTCCCTGTCCTTCAAGCACCAAGAAGGGCACGCGCCCATCTGGGAGTGATGGCTCCTTGAAGAGACGCACAGAGGCAGAGACAGCTAGTGTTAGGGTCTGCGCGGGTGCCAGGGAAATTCCGGAAGACTTGGTCGGGTTAACGTGAGAGCGGGTAGTGTTCGACTTTTTTTTTTTAAATCACAGCATTTTTGAACCTCTTCTCCCTTTTGGGGGAGGGCAGGGTTTTCTGCCCTACCACCCACCCATCGTCTCCTACACATCCCCTACAGCCACGCACCCTCAAGGTGGCATCGAGCATACAACTGGAGCCTTCTGCTCCCCAAAACTCGTAACCTCCCGGTGGCAGGAGAGCAAGAGAGGGACAGACAGATGGCAAGGCATGTGCAAACGAAGAGCAAACAGCACAAATGAATCCGCTCCCTCCCCACCTCCAGGGGTGGGGGCCTTTGGCACCTCAATCCCCGATCCCCTACGCCTTCCCACCCGAACCTCCTCGCACCCACGTGGAACCTCGGTTGATGTGAGCCATGAGCCAGCAGCAGAGAGAAGCACTGAGGCGCAGCGGGGGAATTCAGACGGCACCGGCGTGGATGGCGGCAGCGGAGGCCGCGGGGAAACCTGACCAGGAAGCTGAGGACCAAACCAGCCTCTTTTTCTGTTCCCGGTTTTTTTCCTGAACCAAGGCGTGCCGTGCTCCTTGTCTCCCCATACGTGTCGGGTGGGGAGGAGTGTCCTGGGTGGGGTGGTAGATTTTTCCCCTTCTATGTAATGCTCGGGAGAGGGGAAGGGTACAGTGAAGCGCTCCACTTGATGTAACCAGGTGGGTTAGGGATTGGGTAGGCGGCCCGCCGTGTACGCAGTGGAGTGTGTCCTTTGCCTCCCTGCTCTGCTCCTCCCATGGGATGAGAGCTCCTTGTCTGTAGCTGGACTTGGGCTGCAGTGAGTTTGGAGGCCACAGAACCTCTTTTTGGAAAGCCTCCCTCTGCGACTGGCTTCTGGCTGTCTCCTGTGACACACACCCTTTCCCAAAATCTTGGACCCTGGGTCTTAATGTTTATGCTCCCAAGGTAGTGAAGAGTGCTAGGAAATTTGGGCTCTAGAGTTGGGTTTTGTCTCAATTTGTATCTTTAAAAATTTTTTTATTTTATTTTAAAAAATTGTCTTTTTTAATGTTATCTTCCTCCCCTTCAAGGGTAAAAACATAAGTGCATATCTGCAGCTCTGAATTTCTTTTAAAAAATATTTTATTGATTTCAGAGAGAGAGAGAAACATTAATGATGAGAGAGAATCATTGATCAGCTGTCCGGGGATTGAGCCTGCAACCCCAGGCCTGACCGGGAATCGAACGTCGACCTCCTGGTTCGTAGGTCGACCCTCAACCCCTGAGCTGGGCAACTCTGATTTCTTGGCACCACTTACTGATGCCTTCCTGTGACACTGCCGACGGCTGAGTCTTCGCTCAGAGACCAGGCTCATCTGGGCTGTGCCCTTGTGGTTGCGGGCAAGTGGTTTCTCAGTTTGAATCGTTGCTTCTCCTTTCATGGCATGTTGCTCATGTCCATCGAGGGTTCCCATCCTCTTTACGAGGATGTGACTCCCAGCGGAGGCAGCACTCATGGAGCGGTCCTTGTCCTCCCCGCATTCTTACACTTGCTTGGATGGAATTTTGACGTCCAGTCAGTGTTTCCCTGCTTTCCCAGGTGTTAGGATTGTGTTTCCCTTTGAGAATCTACTGACTTTTCTTTCCCCGCCTCCATTTGAGGTAATGGCATCTTGCCGTGGGGTGGTTTCTCTGCTCCTTTCCCTCCCTGCAAAGTTCCTTCCTCTGACAGTTTTCAGTTGGGCATTCTTAGAACTCCACTGATAGGGAGGAAATTAGGTGAAAGGTGGAAGAGACCTTGTGAAAATGGGCATGTTTTTGGGAGCGGGGTGAAGTTTTCAGTCTTCTCTTCTCCCCATTCCCCCCATGGGGTGTATTGGAGATCAACTTCCTCCACCCCCCCAGGTTTAACCCCCCCACTCTGCCCTCCTCCCGTTCCCCACCCCTACCTCCCCCCTCCCCCTCAGCCAATGGAGATCTTCGTGGATGATGAGACGAAGCTGACGCTGCACGGGTTGCAGCAGTACTACGTGAAACTGAAGGACAACGAGAAGAACCGGAAGCTCTTTGACCTTTTGGATGTCCTTGAGTTCAACCAGGTCAGTTGTTCCAGGTCCAATGGGAGGATGAGCACGTCTCCAACTGTAGCCGAGATCTGTGCTCAGTACCTGGTTGTAGAGGAAACCACATAGGTGATGCAAGAGGATGGTGGAGACATTCTCTCAAGTGAAATCTTTTAAGTCTTTACCTGAGGATATTTTCGTTGACTAAGAGAGAGAGAGAGAGAGAGACATCAATTTGTTGCCTCGCTGTGTGCGCTGCAACCAGGGATTGTACCTGTAGCCTACCTGGGAATCGAATCACAACCTTTCTTTTGGTGTACTGGACAAAGCTCCAACCGACTGAGCCTCCAGGCCAGGGCTTAAGTGAAAAAAAATTTTTTTTTAAATATATTTTTATTGATTTCAGAGAGGAAGGGAGAGGGATAGAGAGGAACATCAGTGATGAGAGAGAATCATGGATGGGCTGTTTCCTGCACCCCCAACACTGAGGATTGAGCCCGCAACCTGGGCATGTGTCCTGACTGGGAATCAAACTGTGACCTCCTGGTTCATAGGTCAATGCTCAACCACTGAGCCATGCTGGCTGGGCATGAAATTCTTTTAAAGATAAATGTCTTGGGGCTGAGCACAGGCAGGGTGGGAACTGCTGTTCTGTTCCATTGCTGGCACAGACAGGTACTCAGTACATAAAAGCAAACCTCAAAATAAAATCCTTAAAGGGTTTTAATAAGGTTGTAATGGTTCCGAAATGTCTTGATCATCCTTTTAGGTTTTTAAATTTGTTTTTCGAGTACTATTTACTGAGGAGATGTGTTTCATCACTTTACCTCTATGTAGGATATTTTTTTGTGTGTGGTTTTTTTTTTATTATTTCGGAGAGGGAGAGAGAGAAACAGTGATGAGAATCATTGATTGGCTGCCTCCTGCACGCCCCACACTGGGGATAAAGCCCGCAACCCAGGCATGTGCCCTTGACCAGGATCGAGCCCAGGACCCTTCAGTCCACAGGCCGATACTATCCACTGAGCCAAACCAGCTAGGGCTATTACTTAGTTTATTTGCAATAAAATTTATCTAGACTTGGGATAAGTTACATTTAGAGCAGAAGAGGAAACATGCTAGGGACTGAGGAATTCCTTTAGAAGAGTAATGACTGAAAACTCCTTTTTCATACAACCTCACACTCGCATGGACCTACGTCACACATGCACGCACACACAGGTGGTGATCTTTGTGAAGTCTGTGCAGCGCTGCATCGCCCTGGCCCAGCTCCTGGTGGAGCAGAACTTCCCAGCCATCGCCATCCACCGAGGGATGCCCCAGGAGGAGAGGCGAGTTGGAAATGGGGAAGATATTTTGTGTTCTTGGGAGGAAGAGACTTGAGAGAAAGGATTCATTGTTTTCTAATTTCCTTTCTCACAAAGGCTTTCTCGGTATCAGCAATTTAAAGATTTTCAACGACGAATTCTTGTGGCTACCAACCTGTTTGGCCGAGGCATGGACATCGAGAGGGTGAACATTGCCTTTAATTACGACATGCCTGAGGACTCCGACACCTACCTGCATCGGGTGAGCCCCGCATCCTCTGGCCATTCAGTGACCTCGCCCGCCCCTTATTTCCTGTCTTCGTGGCAGACACCTTCATCCCTCTTGGGTGTTGTCTTCTTTTGGGTCTTCCTGTCCTACCTTCTGTCTCCCTCCAGGTGGCCAGAGCAGGCCGGTTTGGTACCAAGGGTTTGGCCATCACGTTTGTGTCAGATGAGAATGATGCCAAGATCCTCAATGATGTGCAGGATCGCTTTGAGGTCAATATTAGTGAGCTGCCTGATGAGATAGACATCTCCTCCTACAGTGAGTATTGATCACACGGACCAGCTCCCCCACCACGTGTAATTCTCCTTGTTCCTTGCTGTGTTTGGCTTAAATCCCATCATGTGGGTAGAGCCCCTACATAATGGGCACCTGACTAGCTCATGCCCCCTGAACACGACGCCCTGTTGGGAGGTTTAGTTCACGTCTACTTGGGATCTCTTCACTCCCCCAAGTCTGCTCTTTAGACCAGACACTACACAGACATCTGCGTGTATGAGCATGTGTTTCTGCCAACCTCACCTCTTTCTCGTGTGTTACTCTTTTTTTTTTAAAAAAATATATATTGATTTCAGAAAGGAAGCGGGAGAGAGAAACATCAATGATGAAAGAGAATCATTCATAGGCTGCCTCCTGCACCCCTCACACTGGGGATCTGCAACCCCAGGGCCCTGACTGGAAATCGAACTGTGACCTTCGGGTTCATATGTCTGTGCTCAACCACTGAGCCACACCAGCTGGGCTCTCCTGTCGTATTCTAACCGCCACATTTTCTTTTCAGTTGAACAGACACGATAGAGGACACATCGCCTGTTCTGGAATGTGATAGTCTGTCCCTCTTCAGGAGATGACACCAGGCGTGGGGGTGAAGGAGACACTACTGCCCCTACCCCTGACGGCCCAGCCCCACCCCATGCCTTCCCTCTTTTGCATCACCACTTCTAAATCCGTTTCCTTATTTGTGAGAACTTTTTTTAACAAAACAAAAAACATGCGTCTGTGGTGTCTAAGTGCTCCTTTTATTGAATTTGGGGTGAGGTTATGTGGGGCCAAGGTTGTCAGCAGGAGGGGTCACAGTGGGGGCACGTGGCTAAGACGACGGCAGAGGTCATGGTTCCCGCTGCTTTCCAGTCTGGCCCTCTGGAGGGGTCTTCTGTTTTCTCAGTGGCCCGAGGGAGGCTGGTGTGTTTGGCAGGTGGTGTGCAGTGTTTCCCATGTGGAGGTGAGGTGGGCACCAGAGCAGCCTAGGTTCCTCCTCCCAGGCTCTCTCGGAGTCTCCTCATCTGCTCCTTCAGCTTCTGGGTCTTGAGCACCAGGGCCTGGGCCTCCCAGGCCCCCTCCTGCCCTTCCTGCAGGGCCTGGGCCAGCTCCAGCTGCTGCTCCAGCAGCTCCTCCGCCTGGGCTAGCTCAGCAGGGAGCCCAGGACCCTAGGGGAGGGATGTGAGGAGGGTAACATCAGCCACGGCAGGGGGCTGAGGCTGGCTGGGAGTCAGGAATTCTGCCTCCAGTTGGTGACACCATTCCTTGAAGAGTAGCTTCCTGTCTTAGCCATACGCCTCTTGGTAAGCACGAGGTAGGGCAGATAGAGATCACTGGCTCAGGGGCTCTAAGGACTAGGGAGGAAAGACTGCCTGCCCCTTCCCCCACCACCCAGAAATCATTAACTTAATGAGGGGAAATGCCTGCTCAAGGACAGTGGACTGCAAGCTGGGAGTAAGCCCTGAGGTCTGGAGGAGTGGGGGTGGGGAGCATACTGGGAAGCTGAGAATTGGAACTGGGCAACAGACTTCAGGGGTCTGGGTTGGTATCTGCTCTAGGCCTGTGGTACCGGGTGAGATTGGGGATTCCCCAGCACACATCTCCCCTCACCTCCCACCCTCACTCTTGGTGCCACTTACTGCGGTGGGGGACCTCTTCCCGCTGCTGTTGGAGCTGGCCTGCTCCTTTGTGCTCGGCTTGGGTCTCTGGGAGCAGCATCTCTGGGAGCTGCCAGGGGCCAGCAGCCTGGAAGGCAGGAGGAGGCAACGACCGCAACACCGCGAGAGCCAGGGCAGAAGGGGGACCATGGCGGGTGAGACTGGGAGCTGCCAGCTGCCCAACTGCCTCCAGGAACTGGCTTCTGCCGGGCCTTTGCCTTCGTCTTGCTTCAGTGCTTGGCCCTGCCCCTGCGCTCACCTCCCTCCCAACCTGGCCCTAGACAGGCTCCTGTTCCTGATGTGAAAATACTGCCAGCGTAGGCAGAGCTGGCTTTAGAACACATGCCCAGCCTACCACGTCTCGTGTCTGTTTCCTTAGCTCTGGCTTTTCTTGCTTCCTCTCCATTCCGTGAGTAAGGAAGTACAGTCAAACCTCGGTTCTCTGTCTCCAATCTAGACCAGGTCACAGAACAGGCTTTGGTTTTCAACCTGACAACCCTTTTATACTGATACTAGTGGCCTGGTGCACAAAATTCGTGCATATTAAAAGGGGATTAATTAGAGGAAATATTTTAATATTGCTATTTGCCCTTTATAATAGAAGTGTCAGAGGTGAAAGAATTAGTAAAATATATATGAAAATCTTCCTCCTGTCAGAGTTGGGCACACCACAGGACTCAAGAGTCAAGTCCCCGCCCACCCACATGTGCCTTGGAATTGCATGAAACCCAGCCCCCCCCCCCCCCCAAATGGGCTAGATCCAGACCTGGCTGGGTCCACCCTTGTTAAGCCCCACTTGGCAAGGGATGTGGGCTGAGGTCCCCCGTCAATCCCCACCAAGCGGGGGGGGGGGCGGGGGGGCGGGGCACAGCCTCAGGTCCCGTGGGCTGGCACTGGGAGGGGGGCACAACCTCAGTTCTCCGTCAGCGCGCTGGGAGGATGTGCCTGAGGTCCCCTGGCCCAGCACTAGGGCAGGGGGGCACACCTTGAGGTCACCTGTCAAGCCCCTCCGAGTAGGGGCACAGCCTCAGGTCTGGCGCCAGGACAGGGGGTGCAGCCTGAGGTCCCTTGTCAAGCCCCGCTGGGTGGGGGTGCAGCCTGAGGTCCCTCGTCAAGCCCTGCCAGGTGAGAGGGTGCAGCCTGAGGTCCCCTGGCCTGGCACCAGGGTGGTGGGTGTGGCCTGAGGTCCCCTGTCAAGCCCCACAGGGGCAGGGGTGGGGGTCGCAGCTTCAGGTCCCTGCTGATTGCTCGTTAAGGCTCATTATGGGAAATTAGCCTCCACTGTGGGTGCAGCCATCTTGTGTTACGGAAACCCCGCCTCCGCTGTGGGCACTGCCATCTTTGTGGCAGAGTGACTGTCAATTTGCATATTCCCTCTATTATATAGGATTAGAGGCCCCGTGCACAAAATTTGTGCTGGGGGGGGGGGGTGCGGGGGGCGGGGTGTGTGAGGTGTGTGGGAGAGGTGTCCCTCAGCCCGGCCTGCACCCTCTCCAATCTGGGACTCCTTGGATGATGTCCAACTCACAATCTGGGACTGCTTCTCCTAACCACTCACCTGCCAGATTGCCCCTAACCGCTTCTGCCTGCCAGCCTGATTACCCCCTAACCAGTCCCCTGCTGGTCTGATTGATGCCTCACTGCTCCCCTGCCTGCCCAATTGCCCCCAACTGCCCTCCCCTGCAGGCCTGATCGCCCACAACTGCCCTCTCCTGCCGGCCATCTTGTGGTGGCCATCTTGTGATGACATCGCACGAGGGCGTCTCGCGACACCACCTAGGCTTTTATGATATAAGATGTCAGCATGACAAAAATCTCAGGCCACAGAAAATACACCAATGTGAGTCAGTTTACCATGCTAACATTTCAGGAAATTGTGCTGTGAATATTTTGTGTGTGTGTGAGTTTATTGCTGACAAAATGGATGATTAGCACAATTTAAAAGCAAAGAGGCCATCAAGAGTGCTAATGTTGCTAACGTGTGAAAGAAACTGATCACAGGCGATTTGGTTAGCAGGTGACAGCAAGTGGAGATGCCCCACGCTGAGCAGAAAGACACCCTGGACCAAGTGCGGAAAGTGTCTCTTGAGGCCAGTAGGGATGGGTCGATACATTTAAGAAGAGAAGTGTTTGTTTATAGATTAGACAGCACATTTGGCATACACTGTACATAAGAAAGATCAAAATGGAATCATTTGGGGGTCTGTAATGAATTCATTTTACATTATTTCTAAAGGAAATGGTTTTCAAACAGATCGCTCTTGAACAGCCTTCCAGAACGAATTAAGTTGGAGAACTGAGGTTCCACTGTGTCTGGTTTTGCGGAGGAGGAAGCTGGCTTGGAGGGTTTCATTCAGCACTCATGTATCCAGCAGGTGTCTGTGGTGCACTCCAGGCCCCACAGCTGGAGGGTTCATACCCAGGTCTACCTGACTTGAAAACTACCCATTGACCTGGCTTTAGTCTTAATTTTCCCTTAATTTTCCTTTCCTCTTGCTGGCCCAGTATGACCTTTCTTGTCCCTGTTGCATATGATATTGTGGGGGTTTGCCTTTGGTAGGTTTCGGCACTGTGGTTACCACTTTAAAAAAATGTTTTTATTGATTTCAAAGAGAGGAAGGGAGAGGGAGAGATAGAAACATCAATGATGAGAATCATTGATCAGCTGCCTCCTGCACGCCCCCTACTGTGGATTGAGCCCACAACCCAGGCATGTGCCCTGATTGGGAATCGAACCGTGACCTGGTTCATAGGTTGACACTCAACCACTGGGCCACACCAGCTGGGTTACTAACACATTTTTAATATATTTCTGTGTTTACTGTCTGTACCTCCTTGAGATTATAAGCTTTGTGGCCAAGGACAGGGACTCTATTTTCACAGCTCCATTTCCATTGTCCCAAAAGGGCCTGGTTGTTGATTTTAAAGCATCTGTTGAATGAATGAATGAGTGAAGGCACCCCCAGACTGCCCCACCAACACAGACACTGCACCCACAGGGACACACCCACATACACACACTGACATACTGACACACATTCTCACACACACACTGCTACACCCCAATACACAGATACCATACCCATGGGGACACATACACACACACATTCTCATATGCTCACACTAATATACATTCTGACACACACTAACATTCTCATACACTCACTAATACACATTCTCACACTGACACATATTCAGACACACACACACACACACACACATAATTAAAGCCTACTTTTCATTGAACATTATCTTGTGAATGTTTCCCATGTCATTGTGCATTATTATTTAAAATTTTTTCTCCAAATTATTGTGAAAAATTTCGAATACTTAAAGTGTGAAAGAAGAACACAATGGTCACCCTGGCTTAATCATTTTAATATTTTGCCATATTTTCTTTATGTAATTATTAGAGGCCTGGTGCACGAATTCATGCACCAGTGGGGTCCCTCAGTCTGGCCTGTGGGATTGGCCCAAAACCGGCTCTCCAACATCCCCCAAGGGGTCCTGGATTGTGAGAGGGCGCAGGCCAGGCTGAGGGACCCCACCAGTGCATGATCCTGGGGAGGGATGTGGGAGGTTGGCCAGCTGGGGAGGGACCCCCGCAGGAGGGCTCCAGGGCATGTCCGGCCCATCTCACTCAGTCCTGATCGGCTGGACCCCAGCAGCAAGCTAACCTACCAGTTGGAGTGTCTGCCTTCTGGTGGACAGCGTACGTCATAGCGAGTGGTTGAACAGCCTTAGCATATCATTAGCATATGACCCTTTAATTGGTTGAACGGACGACCGGACACTTAGCATATTAGGTTTTATTATATAGAATTTCTATAATTTTGGCTAAAATATTTGAAAATCACCTGCCAACATCATGACCTTTACCCCTACACATTTCAGTATTTGTCTCTTTAAAAAATAACCTTTTTTTCTTCCAACACTATTGTTATTAGAGTGAAGAAGATAGTGGCAATTCCCTAGTGTTATAAAATTCCAGTGACATAAGACTGTGTCATCCTGCGCCGCCGCTGCCGTTCGTTTGCAGTAGAGCGGCACTCAAGAGCCCTTCCGCTCAGGGTGCCAGCCCTCCCGGCAACCCCTCCCTCCATCCCCTCATGGCAACACCTCGGGGGACTGAAGAGTAGAGACATTTCCTTCTGCTCCCTATTTCTGTGCTTTAACTCAGGCTTTGAAATAAGATTCTCTTATTTGGAAACAGCATCTCCCTGTCCACACAATATCCCACAGTGTGGGCAGGCACTGGGCTCCCCGGCCTCTGGCCCCACAGCGGGACAAGAGGGTCCCATGCAGGGTCACTCCTGGTGCCCCAAGGTCACACCTCCGACCCAGGTGCCACACTGACCTGGTGTGAGCACAGTCCCCCACCTCGGGGTAAGAGTGGGCTATGCACATCGCTAAGACCCCTCTGTCCCAGGCACTGCACCCCATAACGAGGGGTCAAGAAAGGCTCCACACACAGGAACTAAGATGCGACCACCCAAACCTCATTCCCATTGCCAGAGCCCAGTGACAGCCCAGCCCCCTACTCCTCCCACCCCCTCACACACCACCATCTGCCCTGAATCCACCAGGACTGACCTCATTCTGTCCTTTTCCCTGTTTGTCTGTCATCCCCGGTCCCCAAACACCCTGCACACTCATCTCCACAGGCCTGCACATCCCTTCTCTGTCTTCTCTCCTGCCCCCTCCCACTGCACCCCCAGAATTCTCAGCCCAGGATCAGCCAAACCTGCGCAGCCCTCCCCAGAGGTCCCTGCACTGGCAGCTCTGACAGACCGGGCCTCCCTGAGGGCACCCTTCCTCTGAGGTCCTCCCATGGGGTCTCCTCTCCCTCTGACCTTGTGCCTCGGGGCCTGTGGTGGGTGGGGTGCTTGCTCCTCAGTTGCTTTGACCCTCCCTCTTCCCTAACACCCCCTAATCCGTCGTCAGATTGGAGCCCCCACCCCCTCATTGCAGGGACCCCCATTTCTTTTAGCTCTGCTCGCTGTCACTCTCCCCAGGGTGCTCCCTCCTTGATCCTCGGTGCTTTCAGCACAAGCAGACGTGGAAGGCTGAACAGACGTCTAGCCCAGTCCCTGGAGCCGCTGGGCAGTGTCCTTACACGCAGAGACTTGGGTGGTGCGTTGCGGTTCAGGACCTTGGACAGGGGGCGCTGGGTGAGTGGGCCGGCAGTCACCGCTGGAAACGGAAAGCAGAGCCGTTTCTCCGGCTGGAGTGGGAGACGCTGCAGGAGAGATGAGGGCCAGGAGGTCAGGGAGGTTCCACGGGGGAAGGATCGGTGCCGCCGGGGTACGTTCCAGGGCCCAAGTCGTCCTCTAGGAGCTCAGGGGGCTCCAGCTGACAGCCAGCAGGGAAAGGGGACCTCAGTCCTGCTCCGCAGGAATCTGCATTCAGACAACCAAGCGCCGGGCTGGGCAGTGGTGCCTCCAGAGCCCCGTGAGGAGCAGGGACCTGCCGCGCCTGGTTCTGGCCCCGAGAGGGCCGGGGCTGTGTAGCCTGCAGCCGCGAGATAATGAATGGCCCCGCGTAAAGCCACTCGGTTGGCGGGGATTTTACAACAGGAACAGGGCACGTCCAGCGGAAAGGGTGCTCTCAGCCGGCCGCTCACGCCCCCGAGCTCCGCTCCTCCCTGACCTTCCGCGGCTCTCCCGGGCCCACTCCCTTGCCGTCCCCT